CCCCGGAGAAAGGATCAGACTGCGTCCAGCCAGGTATTTCCTATAACCGTCCTATGAAAATAAAAAAAATCATTAAAAAGAGATTCTCTTAAATTAGGATAATACCACTGTTTAAAAAGCCTCGTCATAAGTGCTTTCCCCTATGAAGTGCTTCTGATAGAAAAATATACAAAATATATTTACATTTATAAAACCTTAAATACTAAACTGTAAACAGAACAGAGTAAAATCCAATGTCGGCATTTGTTAGGCTTGGGGCTTTTTACTTCTTTCTCTGTTTTTGTTCTGGAGGCGCGGAGCGGACCCAAAGGGGAGGAGGACTTACGCTACTTTAGCCAGGACGATAGTGTCTTTTGATTCGCTCCAGACAAGCCCGGTCCCTCAGCTACAGCAGCTGCAGCCGTGCCGAGCGCTCGCTTCTTTCCTATGCGTTTCGGGACGCCGCGCGGCGCAGACGAGGCTGGTTAGTGTTCGGCCTCGCCTTTGCCGAGAACTTACGCTCCGCTTCGGCGCCTCTTCCCGCGCCTTTCGGGGAAGACGCGCGACTACACCCGAAGACGGGCCACGACAGGCGCCCGCCCGCAGGATCGCTCCTTCGCCTCCCCCACCTGGCCCTAGGACGCTGCGGCGGAGCCGAGCGGAGCGGAGCGGATCCCGTGGGAGCCTCCACCCAAGTCCTTCCTAGCTCCCGCTCCGCAGCTAACCCCGGAGCCGGCTCTCCCTCCCCACCTCTCCCCCTAGGGACGTCCGTCCCTCGGACCAGCTCCAACAGCGGCAGAGGGACCGCCGGCTGGAAGCGCCTTCAGCTCGCTGGGTAGAGGAGGGAGCCAGCTGCTGGGGACAGGAGCGGGGACAGGACTACTTCCTCCTACGAAGCCAGAGAGGGAGGGCGCTGCCGAAAGGAAGCCTTTGCTCGCAAAGATTTACAGCGCCCTAACTGTTGGCACAAGCCCTCTCTCTACCAAAGAATGCCAGGAATTGCCCTGCGCTCGGGTAGGGACTTCGGAGCCAAGCGCTAGCCAAAGCCTCTCCAGTCCAGTTGCGGGCTGCTCTGTTCCGC